AATTGCCCATGGGATCAATCTCTTAAAAACATTGTCAATTCGGTACGTCAAATGTCGACGACACAAAGAAAAAACAAAAGAACTAATAATTCTCTTCAGTTTCGTACTAATCAGCCTTTACTTTTGTTGTTGAATGACATTGAATATATTTTCTATCCATATGGTACAAGTAGTGCTTCAAGAGTCTACTCTCTCTCTCTCTCTCTCTTTTTCTTTTTATATTAACTACAATAGTCTCTAGATTGTAAGAATATAATGTACGTGTGCGCTTTGAAGTATTCTACTTATTGGTCAAATGAAGATCAAAAAAAAAAGAAGATGAAGATGAAGAAGAATAATACACATTTTTACTTCCGCCATATGTTTATAGATCTATTTAAAAAGTGTCTGTTGCGTGCTATTCATTCTATTGATAGATTATTCCGCAACTACAAACAATCATGTCAATGTATGATCTATTGATCAAAATCAAAAAAGTGAATATACACATTAAATAGACGTTGTTATTGATACAAAAATGACGATCGCGGATGTATTTGACATGTTCCATCTGACATTTTAACGATATATAATTTCGATGAAAATCTTATAATAAATGGAAGTGTACAACCGGAAAGTGTCAAATGACATGTTCATTCAAGTTGAATTGATATTGCTATGTTTTTTAGAAATTATTAAAAAGAAAAATTAAGACTTTAAAAAAAACGGTTTATGCTCGCGTGCATATTTCGTGTCTACTTCCTTCCGGAGATGCTATCATGCATTCATAATTTGTCTTTTTCATTTCCACATTGAACTATATAAAGAAAAAAAAAAAAGAAAAAGAAAAAGGCTATACATCATTTTGGATTACCATCAAAGCTTCTTATGATAATTGAGTATTTTTTTTTTTTTGTCTTTCATTACATATGTAAACAGTATTGAGATAAAATACGAAAAGCGGATTAAATCAAGATTTATCTTTTTTCAAATAAAATTTTATATCTCTTTTGTTTTGTTGTTAACATCATATTACCATATAAAATATTTTACTGAGATCTTTTTCATACGTCTATATTATTAAGTATGATCACATCATGTGTTCGGTTCCTTTTTTTCTTTTTTTGTATTGTTTTATTCTCGATTGTTAGATGTATATTCAATATAATTCACACATTCTAGACATTTCTCTTTCAATAGGTATAGTTGAACTCCTGTCAACTGATTATATCGTGCTGCGACCGACAAAAAAAAATATATATATGGGCACCAACATCACGGCGCCAAAGAGCCACTCATCACTCCCTTCTTCTTCTCCTCCTCCTTCTCTCTTTCTCTCTTGAGTGCCAATGTGTATGTATGTTTGATGACGGTGTCAAAAATGCAAATGTGAATTAATTCTTTTTCGCTTACACTTCTATTCACACATTCAACTCGATTGTGATTGTATTGTATAGTTATATATACTAGGTTTTTTTTAATATGTTTGATAAGATCTAATCATGAAATATTCTATTCGATCTCAAGAGGATTTCTATATGATATTAAATCATTGCATCTTTACTGATATTTTTCCATATGAATAGAATTTGAAGGTGATTGATGGTGCATTACATACACACGAGAGAATCAGAGCCCATGTGTTGCATAGTTGACAGCTGGCGTCGTGCAGAGAAACTGAATCATTGAACTATTGACACGCACACAGGCATATATACAGTAGTCGAGAAATAAATGAGAGTGGATTAGCAATCTCAGGCAACTAAGTAAGCACAAGCGGAAGAACAATCAATGAGAACATATGCAATAGAAAAGTATATAAGCAAATATCAAACGATTGCACGAGAAAAACAAAAAGCGAGAAGCAAGTCTAATAATAATAATAATAATAATAATAACAGCAACAACAACAAAAACAACAACAGTAGGCTTATGGGATCTCATTTTTCTTGCTACCGATATATATGCATTGGTGATATTCGACGTACATATCGATATTTGCTATAATAATAATAATAAAATAGAAAAGAGAAATTTGACTAGGTGATGCCCTTTAATATTTATAGTAAATCACTTCAACTAAGTTTTTTTTTTTTCTTCTTCTCTCTTTCCTTCATGTCAAACAGATGAGAATGCAAAGCAAATTGATTCTGATGCCTTACGTCTGATTATTTGATTGCTATCCTTCGGCAGAAAATTAATCAAAGAGCTTATTTCAAGTATTTGCTTAAACCATTAATATCATTTCTTTAGGCAATAATTTCATCTCATGTTGGTAAGAAACTCTAAAGATTACTCTATCATCAGTCTACTATAGTGTTTTTTATCTTGATCGTGACCTTTTCTTAATGAATAAGAAGTTGAATTTTTCTGTGTCACACTAACTTGCAGAATTTCTTCCTTTTCTTTTTTTATATGTAGATTGATCGTCTCATATGTTATTTTTCACATGAAAATGTTAGATTTCATTGTTTCGAATAAATTTACTAGACACCATCTTGATATGTGTACACAACGGAAAGATTATAATGATGAATGAAAAGCTACACGTACACTTGAGAAGATTCTATCTTGATCATGCATGCACTGCATGACTCGTCGTTTTTTTTTTTTGTATATACACACACATGTCCCATCTCGGCAATAACTAACAGCAATAGATAGAATGTGAGTGTGCTCTCAGGCGATGCTGATTCAATATTCTATAGATAAAAAATAGAGTAATCAAATCTTGAATAAGTTTTCTGCTCACTAGAGACAAACGCGTTGTTCATTTTTTTCCTCTTTCATTCCTTCTTCTTCTTTTTTTGTTCATTCAATTAGCCATCAGTCAACAATCTACCTGTACAATGATGACAAGCTGTAGTAAAAGGGTTAGATGCATGCATACACATCTTTATTTTCTTCTGACAAGCACAAAAAAAAAAAAAAAAGAAAAGTAAAACTAAGACAGAGAAAAAGACTCATTAGTAAGCAACCATAATGAGTATGATAGAACAAGTGTGATAAGAACAGTAAGGAACCCTCGGCAGTAAGGGTAATTGAATAGAGAACACAAGCACGTACTCGCTTGTTCAATTCATTAGAGACATATCGACATCATAGAGGAAAAGAAATCAGATCTTCGAAATGAAGCTTTTCGTCATCATCTGGGGAATGGATCGGATGACGAGTAGTGTATATATATGTTTATAAATCGACTCGACAGTCCAGCTGTGTACTGCTCACATAACATGGATAATGATGGCTTTGCGTTCGTGTACATATGGCCTGTATAATGTGTATGTGTATATATACTCCAGCTGAGAGCAAGCAACAAAAAAAAAGAAATTCATTTATGTTGTATTTCATTGATGTTCTGTGATCAATTTGTTCTCTGCCAGAAAGTGTAAGAAGAAAATCTGGCTAATATCAGCTGCAATTGTTCTCGTCTATCGTCATTCTTGTAAAGAGTGTGATAATTAGTTTTTTTTTCTTCTTCTCCTTCTTCTTCTTCTTCTAATTCTATAGGATATAATCGAACAACTCCAAACAAAAAAAAAAAAAGAAAAAAAAAAAAGATTTCGCTCTTTTTTGTTCTTCTCTCTAATGATGAACACTTTATGAGACATGTGTGATAGATAGCCGGGAGCTTTTGTTCATCCTGTATAGCACATACAATCGATGACAATCCCGAGAGATCTTTTGTGCCGATTTCACATCATTATCGTGCACAGCATATACTGCATGCCCCTAAGTAATAAACGACACGCGTGAGGTAATCTTATAACAAAAAAAAAAAAAAAAAAAAAAAAAAAAGAAAAGAAAGCAAAGCATGAAAAGAATGTCTTGCGTTCTGTATTTTCTATTCTCTTTCTTTCCTTCATCAGATGAAGCTGTCAAAATGTAACCAATCATTGAATATGACAAGCAGCTGTTTTGCTTTTCTAGACAGAAAAAGAATGGAGAACAAATGTTCGAGTCCGCCGAGAAGCGTATGTGTATAATGGTATGTACCTCCTATACGTGATCGACAATCAGCTGTATTAAAAGAATCGATAAATAGAATAAACGAGAAAAAAAGAGAAATCTATAAACCTTTATAGTGGAAAAGAGAGAGAATAAGAGAACGACCGTTAAAGAAAAATGAGAGAAAAAGAGAGAAAAAGAGAGAGCAACGTCCTCCTCTGATGCATTTCTAGTTCAGACTGAGTGTGCGACGACGACAACGACAACACCATTATCAAATACACATCCCAGCAACTCAACTATTCTATCGGTGACACATAAATTTTTATGTAAGTTTTTTAAAAAAACTAAGAAACAATATTCTATCTACTGTTCTATTGACTTCTGACAGTATCAAGAATTATTCTTGATAATAAAAATCACCTTGAACAAATTTGTCTAATTAAAAATAATTTTCCATAATGATCAAGTCAATTAGTCATAGAAAAAAAATTATAACTGAAGGTTATACACATGTTAAAATGCTTTTTTTTTACTCAATATTTTTAACTTGTCGAAATAGGTTTTTCGCTTTCATTTATCATTATCGTTTGCCGTTTTCGTATGTGCAATAAGATTGATTTCTAGGTAGAAAAAACACACACACACACTCTCATATGCATATACATACCTTGTTACGAACCATAAAAAGAAAAATATTGCATTAAGAAAACTATCTATCTTGATTAATATCAATGTCTAATTGATATTAAGTACCCTTTAAAACACACCGTCGTTTTCTGTTGTATATCATACGAAAAAGAAAAAAAAAAAGTAACTTGCTTTTCTAAAATTTAATTCTCAGCTATTATACACTAGACATTCAATCTTTTCATTTCTAATCTCTTGAGATGTATGAATATGCACATTGGGATTCAATTCTAATGATCTTGTGTATCGAACCGAACGCAAGAAGACCAGGTGGCGGAAGCGAGAGAAACGGGTAAATAGAATAGATCGGATAGAATAAAATTACAAGTGAAGTACAACAAAAAAACTAAACTCATGTAAAATTATATTTTAGATTGACAATAATGACACTACCATCGTCGTCAACATCAACACAACAAGCTGGTTTATCATCAATAGTTTCAGTTAGTCATCCTCAATTTACACGTAATGCATCATGTCCAACACAACATACATTATCATCAACAATGAATTCATTAATGATTGAAAAAAAATATAGTTCATCATCAAATACATTACATACATATTTTAATCAAACAATAACTCAACGTTCAAATACAATTCCATCACATCATTCAATAATAATTGAAAATAAAAATATTCTTCAAAAAATCAAAACTCGTGTTGTTAATTTATTTAAACATATATCAAATGGAAATTCAATAAATAATAATAATAATAAAGATAATCAAATAGATATTAATCAACCACAACAACAATCAACATTTAATTATGATCCTGAACTTGATTTACGTGAAGAACATTTATTACTTATATCAAAACGTTTATTAACAACATTACGTGAAAGTAAAATTAAACATTTATCATGTGATAATTTATTTCTTCCATGTAATCATATACGAAACATAGCAAGACAATGTTTAATTATGTCAGCCGAAGAACCATTTGGTATAATGGGTGCACAAATAAAAATAAAATTAACATTATTATCACCTAATATGACAACAACAATAACAAAATATTTACCAATAATACAAATAAATCCTAAACAAAAGACAACATTTGAAATTGAAATTGATTTACATGAAGATACAAAAGTATTTACATTGAGACATTTTCTTCCACGAATGAAAATGTTTCAACAAATTAAGGAACGTAGTCCATTATATGTAAGTCCCCGGTGTTTACTCATTAAAAATGTCTTCTATAAAACAGCTGAACCAAAACGAGCTTTTGTTAATTCATCTTGATAAATTTTCGTCGAACAAAATAAACAAAACTATTATTCAAGTATTCGATCTGACATAAGATTCATTTTACTTTGGTTTTTTTTTTTCTACCTATGTAGGCAATATTTATTCGCGTAGCTAATTGTTGTTGTCTCATTTATATTATAGGCAAATCATGTATTTGTTTTCTTCGCTTTTTTTTTTTTTTTCTTATGTTGATGAGAAGATCTGTTCGTCGTCAATACTCTTTAGTTTAAGTCAGATGACGACGTATGCTTTGTGTGGGTGTGTGTTTTTCCGTGTCTATTAGAATTATTTATTATTCACTGTTGTTGTTGGTTTTTTTCTTTTGTCGATGTTCAAATGTGAGAATGAAACTAATTCATCACGATGTCCTAGCTTCTATTTCTATTTTTTGCGTTCTTTTTTTTTTTTCTTGAATTTTTCTTATTAAGAAAAAAAAGTAAAAATATTTAAATATTAATCGAGATAAGACTTCCTTTATTTATATTATCTATATTTTGTTGTTGTGATTACTTGAAGAATCAAAAACCTGCCATTTTCTTTTGTCTGTATTGTATTTCTTTCTTTTGCCATTCTTATAAGCAGTTTATATTTCAATTTCCTTGATTCTTCGAATTATGTGTGTCATTTTTTCTTTTGTTTCGTTTCTTTTTCATATCTATTATCTATCTATCTATCTATGTTTATGTGTTGTTTTGTAATACTATGTTCCACATATACACATGTTCTTTTCAAGTGAATCTATATCTATAGAGACACGGTTGTACCGGTCTTCCGATAGAAGCAATAAAAGAAAAAAAGTGAAACAACTGACACGGAGAAATTAAATTTTACTATTGTTGTTATGCGAACAGTAAATATTGGCAATTACGGTCTATAAATTTTCTTTTTCTTTTTTCTTTTCTCTCTTTCTTGTTCTTTGCTGTCGACCAGATGGAGAATCCAGCGTATCGTATGAAACAGCTGATTCACTCTTGCTGTGCAAAGAAACGAACAACACGCAAACACATGTTAATTTACGCGTTGATAAGAGAGAATAGTAATGTGTCGGTATAGAAAAAAATACAATAGAAAGACAGGCATTCAGCTGATAGAAGAATAAAAGAACTTTCGATAGAGTCTATGTTACATAGACAAACATAAGTAAATTTATAGATGGCAATTGTATTGTGAGTAAAAATTCTCTTGTTTTGCTCGATTTTTCTATCGGGTACCCAATAACCTTTATGTCATGCAACCGATGATCATTGACAGAGTTCAGTATTTGTCGAGTATATCAAGTGATTTTTCTTTTTCGTTTGACTCGTAAAATGATTGTATCGATTTATGTTTAAATATATCCACGTAGATAGGTAATAGATTGAAATGAATTGATTCAAACCGTGTTGTGTACGAACATGTGTCGTGCAATGATACGAGAGAAGGTCATCATGATATTGATAGCAGTAGTAGTAGTAGTAGAAAAGACAGATAGAGAGAGAGAAAAAAAAAAATGAGAAGAAATATAATGTCGTGATGGTGCACACACTTAACGTCTCCATATATTTTCCCTCGTCTTTTCTTCCGCTTCTTCTTCTTCTTTTTTTTTTTTCCCTCTGTTTGTTAGACTACTGAGATCGTATTTGATGATGTGCTGAGAATAGGAAAAATCAATGCAAGAATAAGCGTGTACGAACAAACGAGAGAAAATGCAAAAAAAAAAGCTGTGCTGATTTGGATAGAGAAGGACAGATACAAATTAGTGTGATTGATTATTAAGAACCCTCCTGCTGACAAGCATCAGTAATGCTCGGCACGTATTTAACTGTATTATACAAAGCTATACTAAAAGATGAGTGAGGGTACATTTATGTTAAACAGATCCGAACTTTAAACGACACTGTATCTTTCTCATTGACTAAAGAAAAACGAGAGAAATATGCAGTCATTCTTGTAAACGTGATGGCGGCTTCATTTCTTATCTCGTTTTTTTTCCTTCTTCTTTATAACAGATACGTGTGCATGACATCTGTAAAATGACTAAGGCATTAATAGCATTTTTAGTTTATTTGTACCCAATGTACGCTTACTTTATTTAAACATGCATATATATCTGTATATGTTTTAAATGCATACATCTTTTGGGTCATGTGTCTGACGGAGATAGTTTTAATTCTTTGTTAATCATTCCATTTCAACGACCTTTTAAGAATAGAATAAAGAAGAAGAAAAAAAGAGATAGAATAAACGAACGCTTAAAAGTACATTATATAAGGTCGTTTGTGTCTTGTAAATGTAGAATTTTTTTGTAGATAGGTCAAACGAATTTTTGAGAACATTTATTTAAAGAATAGTCGGTTATTGACCAGCTGATGTCTGGAATATAAAAACTACTCATCTTATGCAGATCCTTTTAATTTCTTCTCTTTTTTTCTGTTGTTGTTGTTGTCGTTCTTTTTTCTCAACTTTTCTGCATATATATTGTTTCAGACCACTACTTGATTGTCGTCACTCATACAAATCAAGAGAAGACAAAAGCAATAAAAAATAATGTCAATTCGAAACAATTCTTTAATAAGAACACATGGACGAAATTCTTCTTATCCAATATGTGAAAGTTTCTCAATTAGTTTAAATAATCAAAGTGGAATATTTAATAGTAGACAATGTTCATCAACAACAATTCTTATTTCATCACTTGATCGATATTCAAAAACAAATATTATAAATTATGATACACTTGATAGACAAATACAATCAAGTTTAAATGATAATTCATCTTGGATAGAACGATGTAAACAAAATCTTACAAATATACTTAAACAAATTTTTAAACCGATCATAAAACAAGGTAAACAATTTCTATTTTTACAAGGGCGCGCGCGCGCGAGAGAGAGAGAAAGCGAGATAAATATTAGGCTATGTCGTTTATATAATCTAATTGTATGTACATATTTGTGAGAATAGAGTATTTTTAATCATCTCGATTTCTTTTTACTCATTTGATTATTAATTCTGTTTCTTTGATACGTCGACATAAGCAAACTTTATCGGTAACTGTAAGCAGACAAAAGCCAGTCATCGTTGCTTATGTTGCTTTGTCAACGTAGCAGTAGCTTTAATATTTACTCTTAGTAAATATTTCCTCGTTCACAGATTTTTTTTTCTTCTCTTTTTACTATTGTGGTCAATCTTATTAAATTTATAAAAGTACGGCGGCATTGACTAAATATATACATGATTGTATGTGTATATTGTGTGTGTGTAGGCAAATATCGATCATCAACAAAGCATAAGAAAAAAAAAGGGGGAGAGCAACGATCTGGACTGTACATCGTAATACATTTATAGAAAGAACGGATTTGTTTTCTTAATAGCAACTATACACCATCGTCTTATATTAATACCGCTTTTCTGTTTGATTCATTCATCAAATTGACAAGTAGAGATCAATGGACATTTTCTTTTTTTAATGGCAACACTACCTGTCAATCCACAAAAGGAAAAAAAACCTATTAAACCTGTCATTTAAATTATTATTATAATTCTTTAAATAAATCATCAGTAAAAAAAAGAAACAAGAAAGTTTGAGCAATTTAAATTGTAGATATTCGACAAGCAGATATAACTTCCCATTGAATGTATAACCTTATCAATATTCATCGACGTAGAATAACATAACATTCTATTCTCTTTAAACTTTCTTCTTCGTATATTAAAGAAAAAATAATAAATAAACGACGAAAAACGAATTTGTATAGGAACACTTGAAAAAATCGTTCGAACATGAATTGTTGACTAAGCTTTGAAGAGAAGGTTTATTAAGCAGAAGAAAAAGGTGTCTGTACGTCTTGCACGGACGACTACGATGCCAATCGAGGCGGCGGAAAAAAAATGAGAGAAGAAAAAAAAAGAGCAATAACAACATCGAGCTATATGTTGTTTTAGCAATTTACCCTCGGCAAGGTTTCATTTGTTACATGAAGAGTTGAGAGAAACACTAAGAAGCCCTAAAAAATTCTCAAGATTGAGTGCATTAGATTATCAATGTACTCTTTATACACCTCAATCATTCTTTTTCCTTTTTATTCTTTTTTTTTTTTTTTTACTTTTATAGATTCAATGATGGTGATCAACACAGGTCATCAAGAATTATCTACATTTAATTATGATCCTGAACTTGATTTACGTGAAGAACATTTATTACTTGTATCAAAATTTTTATTAACAACATTACGTGAAAGTAAAATCAAACATTTATCATGTGATAATTTATATCTTCCATGTAATCATATACGAAACATAGCAAGACAATGTTTAATTATGTCAGCCGAAGAACCATTTGGTATAATGGGTGCACAAATAAAAATAAAATTAACATTATTATCACCTAATATGACAACAACAATAACAAAATATTTACCAATAATACAAATAAATCCTAAACAAAAGACAACATTTGAAATTGAAATTGATTTACATGAAGATACAAAAGTATTTACATTGAGACGTTTTCTTCCACAAATGAAAATGTTTCAACAAATTAGGGAACGTAGTCCATTATATGTAAGTCCCCGGTGTTTACTCATTAAAAATGTCTTCTATAAAACAGCTGAACCAAAACGAGCTTTTGTTAATTCAATGGCATAATTCATTTTTTAGCTTTTTCTTTCTTTTTAAATATTATTTTTTTGTTTAAGCTTGTCAGATCTAAATATCATGGAATAAAAAAAAGACAAAAAAAAAAACGTATACCTATTCTGTATGTTTTTTTTGTTGTATTCTTCTTTTTTTTTTTTAATGCTAAGTGTCAAATGTATTCATTGCCTTGAAGAGAGACATGATTTTATATTTTAGTTCAGTTTTATTCATTATTTTGAATCTCTCTCTTTCTCTCTTTTTTTTTTGTGTTCATGTTTTAAATATGTATAAGTTTGCATAAATACTCGAAATAAAAAGACATTTTCTTTTTTTTTTTTTCTTCTGAGTAAACTTTTATTCAAGTTTTATACATATATGTCAAGTGTACGGCATTGGCGAAAAAAGAACAGCACAGGTGATAGACATCAGTAGACATTCGAGAATATTTTGTCGAGTTGATCATTGTCATTCTTACAATTAAATTAATGTATTCGAATATGATAAAGTATAGGTTGACTTTAAAGTCATATTCGATAAATGATTTCTTTTTTCTTTTCGTTTCTTTTATTGTCAAGTTAAAGCGAACATTATATGATAAACAATCTAGAGATTATAATGATTAGAATAAAAGATAACATTTTAGTATGCCTTTTTCACATAAATAGCCTGTTGCTGGTAGATATAATCAAGTTGATTATGAAACATGCAATACGACTTTGCTTGAAAGAAAAAAAGTTTTTTTGACACTGAATTCCTATTAAAACAAGTTTATAGTTGCATTGTATTTTTAGCAGAAAAAAAAAATCAAGGTTCACTTCAATAGAAAAGCAAAAGTAAATTTTGATAGCTTCAATAATCAGACCTTCGAATAAAGATGATAATACTTTATATTCTTTATCAATCTTTCGTGCATAAATATTTGTTATAATTACAATAAACTACCATTTAATTTATGCAAGTTTTTTTTTTTCGCATGTTAAAAATTGAATGCCAATGGTTACGCATATCTATTGCTTTAGTAAACAGTTCCTAGTGCCCTTAAGAAAATGATTTGTTTCTTCTCAATTATTTTCTATATTCTATTCAATATTTGACAGTAAATAAAAAAAGTAATTGATAGTTTCGTTTCACAATAAAAAAAGAAAATTCATTGAAATTCAGCTTTTATTTTATGTGATAGTTTAAAAGTGAGATATATGCGTTTTTTTTCACCTACTCTTATTCTCTTTAATGCTATGTTAAAGTTCACATATATGTGTTTAGAACTTCTTTTTTTTGTCTCTTAATAAATGTTAATATTCAAACTCGAAAAAAACCGACAAAGAATAAATAATTACAAAGTTCATTTCATTTAAAAACAATTAGAACAAATGTTAAATAGATTAGATTGATTTTCGATCGATTCGAAAACGGAGATCTGGGTAATTATAATGTACTTTTCTTCTTTATACCTTAAAGCATTGTGTTGAATACCAGGCCAAAGTATATTTATTTGCAAAATAGAAAAGAAAACTTGATCGTTAGACAAACAAACACAAAATTGATTATTCATGAAAAATGCTTTTTCTTTATATATGTGATTTAAAACAATGTCTGTGTGCCTTTCTTTGTTTTGAAAGTGCAAATCTATTGAGCAATCATTTTATAAATAACGAATACACTTATTGATGAAATATTCTATTTAATAATTTTGAAAATTTTGATTTCATATATATTATATTACAAGATGTTTACGAATATTATTCTCGACTTTGAGAAGGATTTGCTTCTTTGTTTTTTACGTATGCACAATAAAACCGAATGCATGATAAAGAAAGTTGATATTATTTGTCAAACAGGATAAGTTTTACTTGAGCCCTCAATAACTTTATAGAATATTTATCATGTTTTACATAGGATAGTCCGAAAATCAATTTTGATAAAAAAAAAAAAGTATATGTGTTATAATTTCTCGCAATATGATTTCTGAGAAATTTTATAATTGAAATTACAATATAAAATAAAAATATATTGAAAAAAAAAACTAAAAACATTTATACAACGATGTTTACTATTAATTGTTGATGGTGTATTTCATAGATGCATTGTATTAGAAATTTATTTGCAATCTATTAGAAACTTGTTGTATTTGATTTTGAGATGTTTATGACTATACCGTAATAACTTGTTTTGAATTTACTGATGACTTTAACTCAAAGTAAAGGAATTTCAAGAATGTAAATTACAAAATAGTGATTATTTCAATTTTGAACAATGAAATTTTTTTCATCAATATTCGATTAATTCTTAATATCGAGATTTATAACATATATATTTTAACTGATTAAAAATCTGAGTGAATTGCTGACAAACTATATCAGATGACTGTACTCTGTCGGACGTCATTCTGTTTGTATCCGTAGTGTTTATAAAATGTCTTTAAAAATTGTCTCTACTGATGTTTTGTTTAAATTTCTAGAGTCATCTGATTAGAAGTCAGATTAATGATATTTTTTATCCACTTAATAGTGTTCCAATATCGTCAAAAGATTTTTAAATAAATTCTAATGATAACATTTTATAAAGACGATACTACGGCAATTACATTATTGATTCTCATGTGTCATAGAAATCATTCTTTTAAATACTGATTGCTTTTCTTATTTTATTTTGAAAATAAATCCATTTAAACTAGAGATCTTTTAGTTGCTTATATTTTTATTGTAATAAATATAAAGAGTTGCTTACATGTGAAAACACTTGTTTGTTTAATCTTAAAGTATATATGTCAATGATATTCTCTAATGAAATAGACGATTAGTCGGTATTATATTCTGATCGAATTCAACAATTCCTGTTAATCTTGGCTTTAGAAATGAATTCACCTCTTTTTTTTTATAAATGTAGGTTAAACCGTTTAATTGAGACTATGATTCTCATTACGAATGATACTCATTATGTTCTATTGATATTCTATATTCAAAAGATTTTTTCTAAAACTATCAGATACTAAAGAAAATTTTTGAGATTTTCTTGAATAAATATTCTTTTGTGAATCTTTTAAAATTTTCTCGTATCACCCTTTTTTTTACTTCAAACAAAAATTTTAGTTCAATGAATGAGTTGTACATTTTGTACTTAAATTTATTTCATATGTCTTGAAAGAGAACTTTAGTACAATAAAATAATTCATTCCAATGTTTTCTCTCTATTGATTATCAGTTCTTACATAGTCTATCTTTTACTATATATAAATGCATTTTAATCTATCATGATCTATTTTGAAAAATATACGCAACAATCAGCGATATCTATTTTTGTTATATGAAAATACGAAGATATAGATGTGATCTAATAGATCACTTCAATCTAATTACTACCTGAGGCACTGGTATCACAACTGTTTAGCACATAAAAGAAATTCATTATGATAAAAAGAATAAAATACATGAG